AACAATCACTGTCACAATGTTTCGAAAAGTGTTTCCTTGTCAATATCAAGCCCAAGAGGACACTGGTCAAACCGTCGTGGTATATGTGTACAAGCCAATGATTGTTTCCATATAAACTGTGTTTTTAAAAAAGATTTGTATATATAATTGTTTTCAATATCTAATACGAAACAAATCTTTAATTACGTACCAGATTAGAAGATACTATCAAATTATTCACTTACCCGATTCCGTCTAAATAACCTATCAAAAAATCCACGTTGAGGGGGTGGAGGGGGCTGATCTTCAATTAGATCAGGGGAAGGTCCTCCATCTGGCCCAAATAAATTCAGTTCTTTGAAGCATTCTGTTTCTATCATCTACAAAACACAAAAACATGTACTTGTATGGATATTAACAAAACAATGACCACTGAAAATAACTCAAAGGACTAGAGAATAAACCATTATATTTCTTGCAGTTTGATGGTCGAGACTCGAGAGCAAGACATTAGGTAACATATTGATACAGCACGAGGATGTCAGTGAGGTATTTATCAAGATATTACGCAATGTGTTGCTCAAGACCATTAAACAACTTAAAACACAGACACTATCCTACACGTGCATTTCAATGAAATGACTAACGTGGTTCAATTTTATTTCATTAATACGCTTGCGCATAGGGGTCTTTAGCAGTGGGAGGAAACTGGATGACCCAGAGAAAACCCACAAGGTTGGACAGGCGACCAATTGGAATAAACTAAGTGAAAGAGTTAATAGATTACCTCATTTTGCCATGGTATTGAGACGCTGCCTGTGTTAAATTTACTGTAGAATGTATCATCACTTGCATCTAAATTAACACCTTTAACTGTAGAGAACTGTTCTATATCTAATACATCTTTACAATATACTGCTCTCGGCTAAAATACAAATAACATTCTCAAAAACACATGTCAACTAATTATTTACAGGCATTTATTAAGAGGCATTGACATTCGAAACATCAACCATATATACCCTTCAAAAAAAGTAGGGGATATTCAGAAACAATACAAAACTGCAGAAATGCACTAATGTGTTTATTAGAGGTAACCAGTGTATGTTAATAACAGGCCAATTGCCTACACATGAACATAAACAGTTCATATGGATGGCTTATCTGACGGCCCCATTTCACTCACAAAGAGATAAACTGTCAAAAGTGAAAATGAGTCATCGCTCCACCAATCCTTAGACATTCAGCAATTCGTCGTGGCATGCTCCTCATCAACCGTCCAATCACGATTTGGGGCAATCTCCTCTTGCAGTGCCACTTCCAATTCTTGCAATATTGTCGGTTGACGTTGACAAACACGTCTCCCGATCAAATAAAACGTAACACACTAAAGCAAAGATACACTAAAAAGTAAATCTTATGCAAGAACCGATAGGAAAGCAAACATGGATAGATAAACCAGCATGCGGCAGTTTTCATCAACACTTCCTTGAAGTGTCAAATTTGACAATGAACCCCTCCAACGTGTATGGCGCTATTGTGTGTCGCATGTGCAGCTCAGTGGTTCTGTTGGGGCAATAAGTTTTTCATCTGTGAACATACTCTCAAAGCATGTCAAATGTCCATGACTATTTATCATATCGCAACCTGCATAGGTATTTGCATTTCAATATCCTCTACTTTTTTTGAAGAGTATATATCAGCAGCTATTTTCCATAAGTATTTGTTATATTACATTTCACGTTATTCTCCAATTTTTGCGGGTTTATACGCAACATCTGTTGTTTTTAGGATTGACATGAAACTCATAATCTTTGATCATCTTAGTTCATTGGACAAATACGCATCGTTTGATAGACTTCAATTCTAAGATGACTTCGATGACATCATGGTCGGTTGCTGATTTATATAGTACGCTCTTCGTAAGTCAGCAAGTATATGTAGGTAATTCTACTCACAATACTGTATATTATTAGGGGAAATAACCACATAACTTCTACACTATCAAGATATTATCAGTCATGGGTGGCCATACACTGTGATACAGTTTTCTGTCCCATTCGAACAACTATACATTGTCCCTTGCCAGGATTTCCGTCCAGCACAACTGACAGGGGAAACCACACTTTAAAACCCTATGAACTTTCTCAGTCAACACAGGGATCAAACACAGGGCCTCAAGGTTAGAGAGCCAAGGTCTCACTCACTTAGCCACCATGGCTTCCCATTATTCAAATGAGAGAGAGAGAGATAGAGAGAGAGAGAGAGAAATATGGGGTTTAACTCCACCCCGGACAAAATAGGTCATTTCGGGACTAACACGTTTCAATTTTATTTCAATAATTCACATGCGCCTAGAGGTGCTTAGCAGTGGGAGGAAACTGGAAGAACCGGAGGACCCAGAAGAAACCCATGAGGTTGGACAGACGCCCCTACTCCTTGTCACGTACTCGGAACCCCGCCAGTTGACTCAATGACAGACTGTATGATACAGAGCGCATGTGCTAACTATTCGGCCATCCATCCTCACTTATTCAAATGAATGTGGATTGAATATAGAATACTTACATCCGGAAGAAACGGAGGATCCCACATTCCTGCTTCTAATCTCTTAAAATTAATCGATTTAAAAAAATTATGAGCTTTAACTTCTTTGGCACCTTGATTATGCGAACAACATCCTAATCTTTCTGACGGATTTTTCTTTAAAAGCTGAAAAAAAAATGATAAAAGAAAAGATAAATAAAAAATAGGTTGCCAGCCAAAGTAACAAACACTCGTCAATAACACTTTACAAATTGAAATCAAGGCAAAAATTCCATGATTAATTATATATAGTTGATTGTCTTATTTTTCTTTCCTTGAAAAATAAAATTAACCTACAAGACTGCAATGAGAGAGAGAAATGGGGTTTAACGTCCACTCGACACAAACTAGGTCATTTCGGGACACACACATGGTTCAATTTTATTTCAATATTTCGCTTGCATGTAGGGGTCTTTAGCAGTGGGAGGAAACAGGAGGACCCAGAGAAAACCCACAAGGTTGGACAGGCAACCCTACTCCTTGTCACGTACAACCAGGGAATCGAAACCACGCCAGTTGACTCAATGACAGACCTTATGATACAGCGCGCACATGCTAACCATTCGGCCATCCAACCCCCTAGACTGCAAATACAATACAATAGAACAATGAAATGAAAAGAGATAGGGTTTAACGTCCTACTGTTCTGCTTCAACTGGGCTAATGAAGATGAGCATATGCCATGTAGTGTGCTATGAGGAAAATTTTGCCTGGATAGCGACACTACAGCCTACTTTTATTTTGAATTCGAACTGTCAAGGTTCTGTTATTTGAAGCCAATGTGTACACATGATCTCGGTTTTCGTTCATCGGAACGACTAGATAGCTGTCCTTGTTAGGCCCTCCATTCTGCACAACTGACTGAGGAACTTTCTCAGCCAATACTGGTAACAAACCCAAGACCTCCAGGCTAGCGAGCCAACATTTTACTAACTGGGACCGCGGCTCCCTAATAAAATAAAACAGTGCAGAAAGAACATATCTCAATGCCACAGTTGGGTAAAAAATCCACAATAATCCCCAATCAATACGACTGCCATGTTCCTGAAGCAACGACAGCGAGTTTTACAACATCTGGACGTTGCTAGATTGCTCTACAATTGCAGAACTTATAGCTACATTATCTCCCTTTACTGCAGACACGTGAACGATAGCGTCCAATTAGAAGTTGTGACACTAAGACAATCAAATCAACTACAGCGACCTCAACGGAAACCTTGACATTGAACAAACTTTGAACTTTGCTAGTCTATTATCACAGGTGGACACTTTAGTTAGAAAGCACAAGACCTGGTATTCGCGAAGATTGAACAATCTGATAGGCTCTCAAGCTGGGTGAATACCCAATCGAAATTATTGTCGAAATATGCAGGGTATTACGTGAAGGCCTTGATAAGACAGAGTTAAAGCGAGATCAAGTCTTCTATTGAAGATGTATGAATGCATAAAGGTTTAATCCAGGACAAATTTCTGGCAGTAGCCCTTTATCAACTGGTCATATAAGATAACGGAAATAATCTCTTTAGGAGAAAAACAGATTTTAGCAGAAAAATGGAATTGGTTAATTTTAAAGGTATAGAATAGAAGTTATTTTATTTACTTACACCTGAGCATATTGAACGACATTCTTCTGAGAATTTAGAGGAATAAACTTCTTGATCTTCTTTAACACGCCGATCTACTTCTTCTCTTTTCACTTTCTCTTTCCGTGCTCGGAATGGAGACTATAAAATATAGATGAACAAATCAAACAAGAGTCCGATGAGCTTGTATTGAGATCAAGGTGTACTCTCATGACTGGCATTCTCCTATCAGAAAGCTCTGGCAACCTTCTCTGACAGTAGAGAACTGCTATTTTAAGAATGTACCTTGAAGGTTTTTCCGCTTCAGACTATGAGTAGAACTAGTGCAGGGTATTTCCACTGCTGTGGCGATTCAGGTGCTTTGATATGATTCGTATCACGATTCACAACTATGTCAATATTTACCAAGAAAACAACAGGATAAATGAATAATTGATATTTTTAGTCCTGTCGATGTCAAAGAAATAAAACAGTTTTATTTCACGACATTGATGTGGATCAAAATAAGGGCCAAACTAATTTAAGAGTGTTTGTTTGTGGATAATGTTTGACGTGGATAATTAAGAGTGACAGGTCACTTACTGAAGCGACAAAAAATATAAAAAAGATAATCCAGATACATCGATTCAAAGGATATTTAACATATTCCAATAATAATCACTGTTATAAAACAAAAACATTTAATGATATTCAGTAATGAAATACCCATTAATTAACCAATCCCCAATGTTATACACTAAATAATTAATGGAGAAGACACAATGATTTTAGAAATGTTTTCTTACCTTTCCTTCGATCATTTCATATATAATACAACCAACCCCCCACCAATCAGGGCTGAATGTGTAACGTTCATTCTTTACTACTTCCGGAGCTGTAATAAACAAATACAATAATTTCTTTAATACTTCTGGAGCTGTAACAAATATACAATAATTTCTTTACTACTTCCGGAGCTGTAACAAATATAAAATATACAATAATTTCTTTGTTACTTCAGTAGCTGTAATAAACAATTCTAAATGAAATGAAATGTGGTTTAACGTCCTACTGTTCTTCTCCGACTGGGTTAATGAAGACAGGCATACGCCATACAGTGTGCTATGAGGGTAAGTTTGCCTGGACAGCGCTGCTACAGCCTACTCTTATATTGAATTCCAGTGCCAAAGGAACTCTTACATGCATGCGAATGTGTACATGGAACCTCAGTTTTTCGTCCCATTCGAACTGCTATACGTTATCCCTTGCCAGGGATAACATCCTTAAAATATTTAGTTAAGTTTTTGTGCATGAGGGCCCAGTAGTGTTCAATAACTTGATTTAGCTCCCTTGAATCCAAATTGATTTCAGAGATAAAATTCTTACATGTACATACATACGCAATTAGTCCCACTTGAGAACAGACATAAAGTCAACTTTTCTTTCAATTCCTTAATCGAGGATTTTAGTCTAAAAAAACATGCTTTGAGAATTTTGAGAAGAATATATTCTGCTTCCATTCAATAAATTTCAAAATGTTTATTTAGTCTTTGTGTGTATTACAAACGCATTATAGAGAGAGAAATGGGGTTTAACGTCCACTCGACACAAACTAGGTCATTTCGGGGCTAACATATGCTTTAATTTTATTTCAATAATTCGCTTGCACGTAGGGGTCTTTAGCAGTGGGAAGAAACCGGAGGACCCGGAGAAAACCCACGAGGTTTGACAGGCAACCCCAATCCTTGTCACGTACAACCAGGGATTCGAAACCACACCAGTTGACTCAATTACATGCCTTATGATACAGAGCGCATGTGCTAACCATTCGGCGATCCAAACCCATAAACTAATTTTTGAACATGTTGGCTATTCAGGGTTGAGCTCTCTTCTCAAAGTAGATAGTTCTCTGTGTGCAGGTGAATTATAAATGTAAACACAGTAACAACTACGTACCCATATAGCCAACCGTTCCTACACGACCTCTAATAGTTTCACCATTCGGAATTTCAACAGCTAAACCCAAATCAGATATTCGTACATGACCTGCAATTAGAAATAACATAAGTTTTACCGGTAATTGATTTTTATTACAGTAAACAATGTAATAGAATATCTAGTGTTACATGTAACTAAAGGTAAGAGGTTGACATGACTCACGACATGTAGATCTGAATCCTGCCAAATGTGTACCTCAAAGAAGGATCAAATTTGCTTATGTAGCAATTTTAGCTATATGTACATGCATACAATCTACTATTGGACGAGCTTTTGGTGATAAACATACAAAGTGAGTTAAGGGAATTTTGCCAGGAAAGAAACATTTCACGTGACACCTACTTTCCTAAATTCCATCTGTTTTTGATGTTGTTCTTAGTGTTTAACAACCGGTTTTACCGAAGGTGATATCGCAGACAAGTTGTCTTATTTTTATTATCTTAGTGCATGCGCAGGGGTCTTTCCTGTGGGAGGAAACCAGAGTAAACCCATGAGGTTGAGAACATGCCCCTATTGCCCTATTGCTAAGTCACATACGCTCACACCAGGGATTGCAACCACAACCGCAAGTCCGAGGTGATTGGCCAGCTAGAAGTCGAAGCATGACACTCTACTACCCCCCCCCCCAATCTCCAAATTCCATATCCCAAGGTATATAATTTACTTGTATATGGGGCTTGAGTTCATTTTGCCAGCTGAACTACAAGAAAAACAGAGAGATAGAGAAATGTGGTTTAATGTCAACTTGACACAAAATTAGACTCAATGACAGATCTTATGATCTAAAGTGCATGTGGCAGAACACTCGACCAACATCACCCACCCTACACTGCTCCATAAACAAGAAAACAAATATTCCTTTTAAAGTGATACTTACCATAGTCATCCAGTAGAATGTTTTCTGGCTTTAGATCTCTGAAATATAAACACCTTAGTTTGTAAGAAAATGAAATTGGGTTCAACTTCCTACTGTTCTGTACCGACTGGGCTATTAAAGACGGGCATACACCATGCAGTGGGCAATTCAGAAGATTTAGCCGGGACAGGGCACTATGGCCTACTCTTGACTTTTCGTCCCATCCGAAAAAAAAGATAGCTGTTCTTTTCAGGCCCTCCATCCTGCACCACTGACACAGAGAAACCATGCCGTAAAATTGCTATGAAGTATCTCAGCCAAAACCAAGGGTGAACCTGAGACCGCGAGGCTAGCGAGCCAGCATCTTAGCCTTACCCACTGAGTCACTTTGACTCCCAATATTGTAAGGAAGGTCTCCTGCCTGGTTACATCTTTAAATCCTACCGAATATTTACTGCACTCAAGGGAGATAATAATTTTAAAAATAGATAACCCATTAACAACATTTTTTTTTAACACAATAAATTTGTCTGAGCTCTCGATAAGAAGCTTAACACACCAGTGACTTATTAAATCAATAAAAACAATAACTACATAAAAATCAGTCATGCAGACCAGTTATGTCTGATCCTAAGTGGAGACCTAGTTATTCATTTATAGCTATATATAAAGGGAGGGAAATGTGGTCTGAAATTTGCCATTTTCTGGGGACAAAAATATAATTTTCTAAAATTTCATGTAAAATGTAATGAAAAGAAATGGGGTTTAACATCCTACTTTTCGGCACCAGCTGGCCTAATGCAAATGAGGGATGCCACAAGGCAAATTCTGGTCCAACAGAAATGCCACTAAGTAAGTTTACTCTTATTTCAAATTAGTTCAGGGGATCTTTAACATACTGCCAATGGTATACACAGGACATTGTTTTTTTCTTTCCATCCAAACAACTAGACACTTTACTAAATTATATGTGAGGGTTAGGTTCTTGACCACACAATATATTTATTTATATCTTTATTCTCACAGTCATTGTCATTACAACACTACAGTTTATCTTCTCTATTTACAGAAGACAACTGCATGCTTTACCATGACAACGGCTGCTCACTCATGTTAATTCATTACTATTATTATATACAAAGGTCATGAATATTCATATTAACAGTATATACATATTCTGCCCTTATTTAGGTGGTAGACAACCATTAACATTAAATAAATCTTAGAAATCGGCTCACCTGTAAACAATGCCTTCTCTGTTTAAATTCTCTAAACCACAAGTTATCTCAGCTGCATAGAACACAGCCCTTTCTTCAACAAATCCCGGACTACCCATGTTGTGGATGTGGAACTTGAGATCTCCCCCATTCATAATTGTTAGCACAAGACACAAAGCATCTTTAGTTTCAAATGCATAGGCTAAATTGACCTGAAAGAAAGCACAGAAACACAAATGAAATCAAAGCCCAGGTTTTTATTCCATATTAAAACCACTGATCATCATTTAAGGATTTTGAATCCATTGTAAACTACAATATTGTGAAAGTTGAATCTCTAAAAAGAATATATCAGTCCAAAAATGGTATGATTTACTGTAGTTTTGACAAGATGTGTGAATTGATCATAACCACCATACTGGTCATTCAAGTCTTAGCCTCGCTTCTCCATTTTAAAATTAAATCATTAAATGGCGGAACCGTTCTAATCTACTTAAAATCAGAGTCATTCGATGGCATTGAGGCTTGATTATTGTCTTGTCATGTTAATAAATGTCTAATAGTTCATATAACATTTAAGGCCTAAAGAAAGACCTGCAATAGGCAGATTTAGCTCTTACATAATACCTGTTTAAATAATTAATTTGTATATCAGCATGGATTAAACTGTGAAATATAAGACATTGTTTGAATAACAGAAATGATGATCTGCAGCTTTAAAGGCTGATCTGTACATCTGAAGCAAAGGGAACATTAGCCAATGAAAGTTTAATAGCTAACATTGGCGAATCAAAGTTTAGTAGCTACCATTGGCGAATCATAGTTTAGTAGCTAACACTGGCGAATCATAGTTTAGTACTAGCTAACATTGGCGAATCATAGTTTAGTAGCTAACACTAGCGAATCATAGTTTAGTAGCTAACACTGGCGAATCATAGTTTAGTAGCTAACATTGGCGAATCATAGTTTAGTAGCTAACATTGGCGAATCATAGCTATAGTTTAATACATGTAGCTAACATTGGCGAATCTTAGTTTAGTAGCTAACACTGGCGAATCAAAGTTTAGTAGCTAACATTGGCGAATCAAAGTTTTATAATCACATCTAAAACATTCTCTAGTGTATCTTGAGTAGAAAAAAGTTTGAATGCTAATCAATACTCAACTTGAATGTCATGCTAATATTACAAGTACTATTATACTATGACCGTGTGAATTAAAATGTTTTAAAGTTAATACTCAACCAGATGTCGGGCTGATATTACTATTGAGAGAGAGAGAGAGAGAGAGAGAGAGAGAGGAGGGACGTGATTTGAGGTCCATTCGACACAAACTAGGTCATTTTGGGACTAACAAATGGTTCAATTTTATTTTAATAATTTGCTTGTGCGTAGGGGTCTTTTGTACTGGGAGGAAACTGGGGGACTTGGGAAAAAACCCATGAGGATGGACAGGCAACCCTACTCCTTGTCATGTACAACAGGGGAATCGAAACCATGCCAGTTGACTCAATGACAGATCTTATGATACAGCGCGCATGCTAACCATTCGGTCATTCCCCCCCCCCCCCCCCACCAATATTACTATTGTACCATGGACCGTGTGAAGTAAACATTTCAAAGCTAATACTCGACTTAAATGTCGAGCTGATATTACTATTGTACCGTGACCTTGTCAAGTAAAACATTTCAAAGCAAATACTTGACTGGATGTCAGGCTTATTTCACTATTTCATTAGACCTTTTTATAAGTTTTTTTTTTGACTTTCGAAGGAAATCAGTGTGTAAGCCAATTTAATGTCTCGTACCGCTCTGCCCTGGGCGTGAAATAAAAGTGTGAAATGTGTCTGATCTGTCAGTTTATCCCTGGCTTTGTTTGTGACATATTCCTATTGATTTTTAACATCTCTATTTGCGCATATGATTTGTCAGGGGAGATATTGTTAGTGGTAATAATATAAGTCTGGTTCTGGCTGTTGCTTCCTATATATACTGTTGTAAATTATTAAACATAGATAATTGATTAACTGATTGATTGATTGATTGATTGATTGATATAAGTTTATCAGGCCCAGAGTTCACACAAAGCATTCTCAGACTTAAGTTGAGAATTTACTCAAGTTTCAATCACTGTTTATGAAAAATATCTTTGATCCAGAAACGCAAAACTTTGCACATACTTTCTTAAAGATACATTAGTTAAGAGTTTAATAAAGAGTTGGTCATTCTTGCTATAATAATTCAAAAATAGATGATAAAAAAAGAAAATACTGAAAATTTCATTCAAATTACTTCATTCTCAGCCAAGGTATCATTGTTTGTAGTTTTGACAAGATATGTGCACAGTGGTAACCAGGGCACTGGTATAAACGTAACTTGGCCTCTCTTTCCCATTTTTTAATTAAATTTTTAAATGTCGAACCGTTTTAATCTAGTTAAAATCTTGAGTATCCGATGCCATCAAGAGTCAATTATGGTCTTGTTTTATTAATAAATGTCATATTAATAGTTTATATAACATTTCAAGCCTAAAGAAAGACCTGCAATGTATGTTTAATGATGTATTTGATACATTAAAACAACAGAAGTTTTATAAATATCTATACTTTAGTTAAAATAAGGCGAACAATTTTGAGTAAATTCTTAACTTCCTGAGAATGTTTTGTGATCTGAGACACCAATTCTGCTATCACAGCATCAATTTTGAGTAAAATGGACTTAATAACTTATACAGGACATTTTGCCCAAACACCAGTGTTTTTGCTAGTGCTGGCACGATGTATCCTTGAATCTGGTCAGGAACCTTGATACGAATTGTATCGTGATACCTGAATCACAATACGTATCATATCGTGACAGCAGTGGCAATATTCAGCACTACTAGTTTTTGGCTGCTCTTCATCAAAGGTCAAAAAGAGTCCACAGGTCAACCTTTGTTTATCGACCATCGAAACGACTAGATGCTTTTTTCCCTGCCAGGACCTTCATCCTCACCAGACTGGAAAACCAAAGGAACTTTCTCAATCAACACCACTGACATCGAACCCGGAACTTCCTGAATAGTGACCACCTGCCATATTCAATGAGTCACCCACCTTAATGACTACAATTTTGAGAGAGAGAGAGAGAGAGAGAGAGAGAGATAAATGGGGTTGAACGTCCGCTCGACACAAACTAGGTCATTTCGGGACTAACATTCGGTTTAATTTTTTTATTTCAATAATGAGCTAGCGTGTAGGGGTCTTTAGCAGTGGGAGGAAACTGGAGGACCGGGAGAAAACCCACGAGGTTGGACAGGCAACCCTACTCCTTGTCACGTACAACCAGGGATTCGAAACCCCGTCAGTTGACTCAATAACAGTCCTTATGATACAGCGCGCACATGCTAATCATTCGGCCACCACCCCCCCCCCCCCTCTACAAGTTTGAACATTCTAGCTCAATAAGAAAGAGTTATTGTGCGGGCGGACAAACAGACAGACGAACCCATTTTTATAGTCCCCTGCTATATAGACAAAAGAGTAGATATAGACAAAAAGAGTAGATATACGTTAAATACTTACCACAAACCTAGAATTAACTTTTTGTAAAATTTGTTTTTCATTTAATGCCATGGCCTCTCCCTTTCGTTTCTTGATTCGTTTCTTCTCCAGTTTTTTACATGCATACATTTTGCCAGTGGCACGAACTTGACAAGCACATACTTCACCAAACCCTCCTTTACCTAATACTCTGTACATTCTAAATGTATTCTTTGTAACCGGTTCACTGTAACAAAAAATAAATTCAAATCAGAGATACTAAGAGAAACATGGACAAAAAATCGCCTCTAGAAACTAAAGGAACAGTCCAAATCTATTTTAGTGAATAAAACTGGTTATACAGTGGTTTAAGGGATCGTTACTCATTCAATTGTACGAAATTTCTTAATTGAGATACGTAACCCTGTTATGGAAATCAGGCCACCAGTGCCAAGAAAGATAGAGAAATGGGGTTTAACGTCCACTCGACACAAACTAGGTCATTTCGGGACTAACATATGGTTTTAATTTTATTTCAATAACTCGCTTGCACGTAGGGGTCTTTAGCAGTGGGAGGAAACCGGAGAAAACCCATGAGGTTGGACAGGCGACCCTACTCCTTGTCACGTACAACCGGGGATTCGAAACCACGCCAGTTGACTCAATGACAGGTCTTATGATACAGCGCGCACGTGCTAACCATTCGGCCATCCAACCCCCCCCCCCCCCCAATCAGTGGAAAACTTCTCAATTTATGATCTGATATTGTAGACACGGTGAATAGGCTGTTGTATCATATTTTGGTTTACATAGTTAAACATACTCTTATTTTAAGGTGTCGCGTAAAATCTGCAACTGCTCAAAATATTTCTGATTTCTTTTTAAGCTATTTAATCATTGTTTGACAAAGCTACCTCTACAACCATTTTAAGCTGGAAATCAATTTAACAATTTAGGGCAACGGCAAAAACTCTTCGATAGAAGTTTTCAGTGAAACTCTTACTAATCATTCAAACAAATATACTGACAATGACAATTTTTTCATTGAAAACTCTTACAGAGAGAGAAATGAGTTTAAATCCCTATTTTCAATCAGAAATAGTAATGACAGGTTTTTCAGCAATAATTAACAAGATCTAGGTTTGAAAACAGAAACCAACCTTTCTAACCATTTCCACTGTAGATATCTTTTAAAATACATACTCTCTAAAAAATCATTAAATGGATCTGTTGTGAGGTATTCTGATAAAACTCTGCAATAAACAAATACAATATTTGAAGAAGCATTATGTAACATTTAGATAAAGAGCTAGGATAAGTTTGTCGATTTACCTGTACAGTCCAGGTAACAATTAACACAGGTAATTTGTTTCTAGCCTTAGTAGTGAGATTACACACAGAAACTAAATGAAAAGCTGGCAGTAACTGAACCACATGCCAATCCATGATGAGAAGGCTGGCAAACAATTACCCAATATTCTATCATCTTAATTAGTTTATATGGTAATCAATTAAGACTGTAATATGATACATATATCTATTTAACTACTTTAAACTTACTCTGAGCAAGTTAAAAATAATTCTTTACTGGAAGTCTTTTGAGCCATTGCTTCTTTTATAGCTGATACTTGGTTTCCATTAACCTGACTTATATAGTGTTCCGACTGAAAAAAAAAAAATTCAAATCACTGTAGCAATATCGTTCGTAATCTTATAGGGAGAGAGAGAAATGAGGTTTAATGTCCACTCAACACAAACTAGGTCATTTTGGGACTAACATATGGTTTAATTTTATTTCAATAATTTGCTTGCGCATAGGGGTCTTTAGCAGTGAGAAGAAACTGGAGGACCCGGAGAAAACCCACGAGGTTGGACAGGCGACCCTACTCCTTGTCTCGTACAACTGGGGATTCGAAACCACGCCAGTTGAATCAATGACAGACCTTATGATACAGCGCGCAAGTGCTAACCATTCGGCCATTTGTTTGCAGATGACACCTAACACAGATTTTCGAAATTCTACGATACAAAATATATAACTTTGTCTCACAGAAATTCTTGCGTAGATGACAGAACATTTCTTGAAATTAAATCCAAATAAAACAGAACTGTTCGTAATTGGAACCAAGCAACAACTCTGAAAAATTGATCAAACACTTAGTTAATTTTGATAAAGAAATAATTTGGGGAACCTATAAAGCTCGAAATATTGGTGCTATATTAGACTCAAACCTATCGTTTAAAGATCACATACAAAGTATTTGTTCCACTGCCTTCTATAATATACACCGAATTGGAAAGATCCAACGCTATCTCAATTATGAAAATATAGAAAAGCTCATTCACGCATTAATCTCAACTAAACTAGATAACCATAATGGTTTACTCTACGGCTTACCAAATTATCAGATTAACAAACTACAACCACAACATGTTCAAAATTCAGCAGCTCGACTCCTCGCTAAAACTAGAAAACATCAACACATCTCCCATGTATTGCAATCTTTACACATTGGCTCCCAATTCAGCAAAGAATTAAGTTTAAGTTCAAGTTACTCCTTTTCGTCTTTAAAGTGTTAAACGGCCAAGCTCCATCTTATATAAAAAGTTTTGTAGAACCCTATACTACCAGCAGAAACCTCCGTTCTCAGAAAAAACATCTTGTAAAATCTTCAGCCATAAACTTACAACTTGGAAAACGTGCCTTTTTTTTATGCTGGTACTTTTCCATGGAATAGACTACCACAATCAATGAAACAATTACCGTCTGTGGGCCATGTTAAATCTCAACTCAAAACATTATTATTTCAAAACCCTGATCTGTAAATAATCAGTGAATATAAAAACCAACAGCGCCTTAAAAACTGTTAAATCTTCAGTGTTATCTGTTTTATAAATGAGATAATTATTATTATTATTATTACAAAAACAACCACATCCAGTTAAAACATAATATATCAAGGCTATCTTCAATCTTAATCAACATTTCTAAAAAAAAAATCAATGTTTGTAAACTCTTAATTCTCAAATTATTTACCAAATCAAATGAAATGGGGTTTAACATCCTACTCCAACTTGGCTAATGAAGACAGGTAAATTAGTTAACAAGCAAAATAAAAATTGTTTACAGGAAGCAATAATATTCTTGAGAGATAACTAATGGACATTATTCAACTACAAGTACCGAAGCTGAAACTATTTCTAATATGAATATTCAACAGTCAGTATGATAAAAGGCTGTTACATGCTTACAAATTATTCAGTCTTAATCTTACATTATTCAATTGTAAGTACCGAAGCTGAAACTATTTCAATATGAATATGATGAAAGGCTGATACGTGACTACAAATTATTCAGTCATATATCGACTCATTGCCACTTTAACTATTTTACAATCTGATTAAAATACAGATCTATATTTTGTTCCATTTTTTATACTTTCGATGGCGTGTACTACATGAAGATCTGACCGGTTGTAGTGTGAGGTTGAGCCAGGGATCACATGAGCAGCTTTTGACCTTTTGACGTCAAACATTTGTTTTTTTTAGCGAGATACACACATGTCCCAACAGACCATTTCATTGGCTAATCCCTCACATCAATCAGAACACAGGTTATAAAACAACTCTTCCACTAGATTCTAGCATAGTAAAGACAAAATTTTGAACTATAAAAACGACAAGAAATAGGATCTGTGTTTTAATCAGATTGACTTTTTGTTTTCAAAGTTACCATGAGAGAGAGAAATGGGGTTTAATGTCCACTTGACACAAACTAGGTCATTTCGGGACTAACATATGGTTTAATTTTATTTCAATAATTCGCTTGCGCGTAGGGGTCTTTAGCAGTGTGAGGAAACCGGAGAAAACCCACAAGGTTGGGCAGGCGACCCTACTCCTTGTCACGTACAACCGGGGATTTGAAACCACGCCAGTCGACTCAATGACAGACTTTATGATACAGCGCGCGCATGCTAACCATTCAGCCATCGCCCCAAAGTTATCATGACAAAGCAGCATCTTCTTCCTACCTCCAGAACATCTGATACTACTTGCCATTTTAAAATGGATGTTAATAAATAAAGCCAACACATGCTGACAATTATTACATAAAATTTGATATTTTGTGTTTTTATTCGTATTGCACAATGCAATGATTGTGTACAACTACAATTTAAAGGAAGTTAAGCAGCCCATACTATTTTTTCATCAATTACAATGATTGTAATTGATATGAAGAAATTTAATGTGTATGGAGGACATTGACGGGCGAATTAATTGAAACAATTTACTTGAATCAATTAATTGATGGATATTTATTGACGGCTCGTCAGTTAAACAGACCGTGTGTGCTAGTGCCAGAGATGCTTTCATCTCAAAGTTTTCGATCAGAATGAAAATTGACGGTAAAACATTAATCGTGTGTGGGCAAGGTCGATTTCGCCAATTAATTGATATCAATTAATTGACGAAAAAATTGACTGTGTATGGGCCGCTTAAAGAGAGGAACACAAAAACCAGTTAAAGACACTTAAATCAATTTGCTAACTAATGTTTATTCAAGTTACTCTTTAAACCATGCCCATACTTCTGATTACTGTGGTTTATCACTTCACATACATATACCGTATGTATATCTAACACAACGCCCAACATTGTCCAAGCATTGAAACTTTAATTCAAGAGCTTAATAGAGTACTTAGAGTACTAGAGGTTTTGAATTACATGTACGTTAGCATGTACATATATATTCCATTACAAGTCAATCGAGATCAAAAGTTGATTTACACGAATAGTATGTAAACAATCTCTCAAATTTCTCATTTAAATTTAAGTGCGTAGGATTAAATTTCAACAAAATTAGATTCAACATCAGTGTAATCATTTTATCTGATTAAAGCCGACAGGCGATCTGATGTAAACATTATACAGTTCAATTCTGTAATAACGATTATTTTCAACTGATGTCGTCATAAGTTCAATGTATTCTTCATCGACTCTTAAAGGGACGCAATTTATTGAGTACACATACTTTGTTTATTTCACAAAATTCAGAGTTCACTCATTCCGTTTTTATTTTGAGTTAAATCAACCCGAGAGAAAAATATAATGTCATACAAAGCTTTCTAATCATTACAATACAGTGGACTCTGTCACATCCGATCTCTGATCACTCCGGATTGCTGTGACATCCGGTATGATTTTCATGTCCCAAATTATTTCCTTATTACTTCAGCCAAACAATCGCTGGTAAATCCGAATTCTGTATGTTCCGGATTCCGAAATCAATCAGCCGTCCCGTCACATAATTTCCATTGAATCGACACCGTATAATCCGTACTTCAAACGGTGGGTGTGAAGCATCCAATTATCGGTGAGATTAAAACTCAATGGGTGTGAAGCAAACTAAGCAAACTACTTTAAACGATTACATGCATTGATATTTATAAATATATTGTACGCATGCATTGATATTACATGTAAACGATTTATGAATATATTGTACGCATGCATTGTTATTAATTATTTAATATAATAAAATTTTGAAAGTACAGAAAAGTTTATCATTTATAAAGGGAATAGCATTCTGGTGATTCGAAGCTACAATATAAAAATACTTCCGGTTTTCGAAGTTACAGTATTTCCGGTTTTGGAGAAAACTCTGTATTCCGAAACGCTGTGTGATCCGAATTATTGTAACGATCCCGCACGATGTCGGATATGACAGAGTCCACTGTAGATTATGTGGAACTATATCATCTCTGTTAATATTTATTTAATGCTTACAGGACTAATTTTCGCTGTCATTACAACAGTTGGTTTTTGCTATGGTATTTATATTAACAAATTGATAAAACAGAAAAAACTATGATCCTAGAGTTTTGGAATAATAGCGTTTTAACAACTGGCTTATTTCTACGCAGGCACATCTCTTCAAGGAAAAAAAAACAAACTTGTGTTTGGCTGATTAGAAATAGGACAAAAAATTATTATCCCCCAAAATTAGTTGATTTAAGGATAACACCCACTGTATTTGACTAATCAAAATTACGGGAAATACTCTTTATCCCCCAAAAAATGAGTTGATTACCTCTGAATGTAAATATTTTTCATAAACTTCTTCAGCTTTGGCAAGACGTTTTTCATCTGGGGTGATGTCATAATCATTCTGAAAAATAGGAATAAACTATATATTGAACAAACATTAAAGATAGGTTGCCAGGCAACGAAACACAGCAGCTAAATCGTCCGGGCAGTCAACAAGAGTTGTCGCATATTTTTACTTTTTTCGCTAATGAAACATTTATAATACATTAAAATCTGATTAAGAGTAACAACTCATTAAGTAATTATCAAAAAATCATTAGAATTTGTTTGGTTTTTATAAAGTTCTGCCCCATGCTAACGTTTAGTATACGAAACTTTTAACATCATGGATTTAGCTGTTCACGTCATAAAAATTCATTGAAAATTAATATATTTGTTCGTCTCAAGACCTTAAACTCTGTATATCAATCTAAAGTCGATCGGATGATAACTTTAGCCTCTAGAGCAACACAATAATTTTCAAAGTGATCAAGGGTCATAACTTTGGCAGTAATTATCGGAAATTGTTGAAAATCAATATGATTCTTGGTCTAATGACCTTAAACACTGTATGTAAATTTAAAGTCAATCAGATATTAACTTTGGCCTCTAGAGCGTCCACAAGATTTTTTGAAGTGATCAAGGGCCATAACTCTGGCAGTAATTATCGAAAATCGCTGAAAATCAATAGGCTTCTTCTGTCTCATGACCTTAACCACTGTGTATAAATTTAAAGTCAATCGGGTATTAACTTTGGCCTCTAGAGCTTGTGGACGCCAGACCAACGGACGGGGGCGACGACAATATACGAACACATTTCAATGTGGATGTATAAAAAACAATAGTATGACAGAGGTCATGGCAAGGACAGTGTCTAGTTTTTCGGTTAGGTGAAAAAAAAGAAGGTCCCTACTACACATGCACATAAAAGAGCCCTTGACATAATACTAATTTGATGGATAAATTTTAGATAAATAAAATGGTTATCTAAGATTAAGAATTAAAAAATTATTAAACTTAAAGGAGCTAAATCGCTAATATTTGGGACCTAGAAATTACACAAATGGGTCGCAATGCATATAATAATGTAATTAATATGAATGTATATAAACTGATTTGCATTCAATCGTTTCCGTTATAACTCTAATTTCAAATCAGTTATGTTCGCTAGAAGTCTCAATCGAAGGGCAACCTCTAGCGTCTGGTTATTCCAGTCTACACCGATACTATTTATTGCACATGCTCTCCAGATAAAAATATGGCGTCATCGTTTGACATAACTTGTGGAATATGTCTAGGCTTGTTCTTCAAGTCCACTGAACAGTAACACTTGTAACATTACAAATAGCGCTGAAACGGTATTATGGTACACGATTCGTGAACCAATGGTAAAATGTTAATTTTGTCTTAAATATTGGATATCAGAAAACCATTTGTTCCAGTTCACAATATCAATGTTGATTTGATAAATAATTCTTGTTTTCAATGTCGAAGTCTTTGGATGATATTGAGTTAGAGACTTAGCTACTTTAAGTTCTAGTATTCTGCCATTTACATATTATTCAATGTTGGGGCTGATGTCCCCATCCTCAATCCCCCCAAAAAATGGACAACACATATTAGTAATATTACATATAAATTAATTAAACTTTTATCTTTTTTGTAAAGCAATGATCAATAGAACCATGGAAGGTTTAGAACTGTTTATTTCTATCTTAACTATCTGAACCTCAGACATGATACCTTTTCAAAGCTATTCCAATGGCTATTGGACGAGCCGAATTTGGTGAAATGCTATAAGGTTTAATTAATGTTCCGCATTTCTACATCAACCAGGCAAATAAAGACACCTGGGACGTCAGCACCACCTAACAAATCTTTAGGCCAGCAGTTGAACAAGCCAACCTTGACCCATATTCTAAAAGATATCAATTTTCTATGAAATCTATTCATTTACATCTTAAGAATAAAGAAATGATTGTATTGTTAATTGGGCCAAGTCTGTGAATCGATCACAATATATGTCCTATCCTAATCACGTGAAATCCGCTAACCCTATAGAATAATGTATGACTATTTGTAAGATTCTTAATTAAAGATCTAGTTATTGTAATATTTATTGATTTGTACTAGTATTGTTAAGTTGTAATCAAATAATCTTAAACAAAGACTTTTCTTATCCCTAGGTCTGTCCCAAAACAATCGATGCATACATATTAAAGTAAGTAATTTTCCCATAAACCAAATTTTGTAATTTTCTGTAACATGTATCGCAAGATGCTGGCTATACAGCAATATAAATGACACATGAAATTTGTTTTTGAGAGGCATATTCTCAGGAAAATAAGATTTCACGGAGACCACACCCTGGGTCAGCAGGCAGGTTCTTTGGTTCATAGAGGGGGAGGAAACGGGATGACCTTCTGGTCTAGAGTGTCGCGTTTCATGGTTTTGATGTCTGGTGTGAGTGCATATGGCTTGCAGATAGGGCCACCTTCTGAACCTCACAGTGTTACTCCGGTTTCCTCCCACATCCACAGGAAAGACCCCTGCGTGTGCAATAAGATAAAAAAAAATGAAAATATAACAATTTGTGAACGACATCACACTCAGTGGAAGCGGACGTTAAACACCGCGAACAATAAGTGTTGAAACCAGTCGTCGTTGTTTATATTTCAGGAGAGCCGAAAAAAAGCTCCCCTCAATCAACAAAATCGCTCCCCTAACAAAGCTCTCCCAGTTTCGGTAAGAAGAATGATTTAGAAATTAAGGAGAGTGATCTGATATTAAGGAGAGTGATTAGTTATGTGTATGGGAAATGGTTCTAAGATCAATAACTGCATGTAATGGGGTCATTCCTGCTTTCATACATGATAATAAACCCCCAATGACTTTCTAAAGGAGAGCGATCTTCAATTTTGTGGTGAGGGAAAAAAAAATCTCCCCTCAGTCGACATTCAGGTGAGCAGTAGCAGGCGCTTGAGAGCCATCGCTTGCCTTAAAAAAAAAATGACTGTGAAACTAAAAACCAAACAAGCATAACGCAAGTTGCACCAGAATATGTGTAACAATTTTAAATTGATAAGAAATGTGATGAGTATAGATTAAGAGTCAGTTGTTGAAGTAAAGAAGTAGTTAAATATTACTTATTGATTAATTCTCTACAGCTAGAAGTAATTTTATTCAAGTATTCACTGACCTCATTAATACATGCACCAGTAAATCGACAACCACTGGAGACATGACATTTACATGACTACGGTTTTATTCATGTCACTAACATACAACTACATCTACCATATATATACTTAATATACATCAAACCCTATTGTATATGTATAGCAAACTGTTTCTCAATGATATAAAATCAAATGGGCTTTTACTTTTCACAAATTAGATAATTTGGGATCAACAGAGAGAGAGAGAGAAATGGGGTTTAACATACACTCAACACAAACTAGGCCATTTCTAGACTAACATGGTTCAATTTTATTTCAATAATTCGCTTGAAAAAGTAATTAGATAACACCTATTTTTTTAATTGCATACTTATCTTTTCATAAATCATTGATAATTTTGCTTATCAGTGCTTAATGTGAGCAAAAATGCTTGCGATTGAAGCAGAAATATGTTCTGAAAGGTGAAAGACAAACAGATGCATTTTGATATTATAATAATCCTTGTTTTTTACATGGTACATGTATTTAAGTTACAGGAAACACTGTAACCCAGGTATTGTTTAATCTTGTGTATCTAGCACTAATTTCTTTCACATTCGTTTAATATCAAATCTTTGTTTAAAAATTCGTAAAAATTGTTTAAAATCACCAAAAATCATCTAATTTGTACATGTGTCCAGTTTAAAGCTGACTGATTAATTTTGATAATGAGTGTCCAATTTACAAGTAGCAGTTGATGAAGGACTACAGGCTGTTAAGGTTGTTGGTAAGGAATTATTTTTTTTTTGGGGGGGGGGGGGATGTCTTTATTTCATTAATTGTCTTCAATCCAGTGGAAGGAAACCAAAGAGCCAAGTTTCACCATTCTCACTCAAATACATGCAGAATCAAAGTTATGTTACAAAGCCTGGAAATAAGGCACCTGTCACAGACAATGTCAGACACAAATGCTGGCTTTGTCAGGCACAAAACCTCTGGTGTCTGTCATTTTGTCCGGCACTTATTTGTCTTGTTTATTGATATTATTAAGACATGTCCGGCACAAAGTTGAAAATGTCAGGTACTATTTCATTAGTGTCTGACATTTTGTCAGGAACATCTAAAACCGTTATTTCCAAGCCTAATGATAAACTTATCTCATTGCTGAAAATGCTCATCAAACTAGGTCAAGACAATCACAGACATCTACACCGAGATTGAACATTTTACTTTAATTACAGGTAGCAGCAGATCTATTGTATTCCCAAAACTGTGATGGACAGGTGGTCGGACAAATCAGGTTTATTAGCCCTCCGCTTGCTCCCCGAAAACTGGGGGCAAACAGTAAAGAAATCCATTTTGTTTTTATTATTATTATTCGATTTATATACATGTAGCGCTTCATTACACACAAGTGTTTCTAAGCACATTCACAATAAAACAGTTCAAAAACATTTTTGAAATAATTACGTTTTTAAGTCAGTCTTAAAGCTCTGGATGGAAGAGGACACTCAAAGAGATTTTTGGAAGATTATTTTAGCTGCTCTAAAATCCTCAATATGCTACGATGACACCACACAGTCCTTATTATGAATAATGTTTCTATGGGAGTACTGAAATAAGATGGTAATTATTCCAGGACAAGCCAGGTCAAACAATTAGTGTAAATTAGATTACCACAGACCTAATCTGATTCTGTATCACTAAAAATCAACATGTTATTATTCAGTCCCAATAAAATATAACGTCAGCTTGGTTGTCTATAAAACTAACGTCAGCTTGGTTCTCAATAAAAAAAAATAACGTCAGCTTGGTTCTCAATAAAAATTAACATCAGCTTGGTTCTCGATAAAAAAAAATAACGTTAGCTTGGTTCTCAATAAAAAATGTCAGCGTGGTTCTTCTCAATAAAAAATAATGTCAG